GATGGTGGAGAAGTTGTGTTTGGTGCTGGGAGTTTAGGGGACAAAACCATCCCCGGGATGTGAGTGGGTGGTATCGCTCCTGGACTCAAACGGGAGGTTGGGGGTCAGAGTAGCACCTGTGGGTGTCGTGGTTTAACTCCGGCTAGCAAAATACCACGAAGCCGCTCTCACAAATCCCCTTCCCACAAATCCAGCACAGGGGCACAGTGATAGACCCTGCGCCACGGCTCCAACATAACTGGCCACCCAGCAGATCGTTCCCTGCTAGAAGTTTGGGACTGTCCTTTCAGAGTAAGGCCCAAACCCTGAAGGACTCGTAGACGTGAAATGTTTCAACACTCAAACTGTTTTCACCAACTGCACCCCGGGGGAAACTCCCTGTAAACAACAGCATTGGTGTCCCACTGGAGTTGGTGACGATTTCGGTTTCCTGGCGCGGTGCCCGGCAGGCAGTGGGTGGTGCTGGGGAGGCTGACACCTGTGTTTCCTTGTCATCTTGCAGCTTGGCCTGGAGAAGCCGGTGCAGACGAGCAGTCGGTGCGTGGTGGGCTGCGCCGTGGACTGCCGGCTCTCAGCGTGGTCGGCCTGGTCGCAGTGCTCCCACACGTGTGGCGCCGGCGGTGAGTCCTCATCTGCCCTCCTGCCCCCTCTCCCCCTTCACACACCCTTCAGCAAGGCAGAGCAGATGGGACCCCCACTCCCAGGAGGCTTTACGCAGCCCCCAAGCATGGGCACAGAGCACAGGGATCGCCCCGAGCCCCACCGAACCCTTCGGAGGTGATCTTTGGACACTCGAGGTCCTGAGGTGTTGGGGTTTTGAATAATACAGGCTATTTTCAAAGTACTCAAAAGTGAAAAATGCAGTTTAGGAAACCAAGTGGACAGATGCCTGGAGGATTATTTTACTAAATTAATTCAAACTCTGAGAATTCAGTCATAGGCACCATTAACCCTAGAGACAGGAGGAATACATAGAGCTAGCGAAAATCTCGGTAGAGTTACGGGATTCTTAAGAAATGGATAAATAACTAAATACGAATTCCTCTGGTGAAGTTACTTTTAATAACATAATTACATCCCATTGAAGAAAAAACATTAAGACTATTTTTCATCATTTAGTATATCCCTCTGTCTACATCTTGTATCCACATGTCCCTTAACACTGGTGTGACTCCAGTAACTTCAGCGGGGTTTTCTATAGCCAGTAATGCTCACCAGCATCCAAAAAGTGAGAGGATTAGGTCCTTTTTTTTGAACTTCATATGATTTAAAAGCCCTTTCAGTATTAATACGAGGAAATGCATTGAAGCTTTTATTCAAAATAAGCTCATGACATTATTTCCCAAGCTTCTGAGGTCCATTAGATGTACAGCTAATGGTCTTGTAAGATTTGAGAGCCGTAATGTATATTTGAATCAAATTCACTTAAGGTCAAAAAGAAAAAAGTTCTTAACTTCCATAAAGTGATTCCTTCAGATGGATTTCGGAGATCAAAGCATGTTACAGAAAAAAGCTTAAATTTTGGATTAGTGGTGTCTATTCTTTGCTGAGCTTTTAGCCCTTTTGTAAAGTAGCATTTTCTTAACAGAAATGAGTGATTCGTAGGCAGTGTTTTAACAACAACACACTAGTAATACTATTAATTCCAAATTTTATTTTTTCTTCAAAATCCATTTTGGAGTTTTAATGCTCGTGTTGCTGAATGGACTGAAATTATTCTTTTGAGTGTTAAATCACGTACTAAAATAAACAGAGCTGTGTGTAGAAAAGCAAGCTGTAACTTCTTTATGGCTTTTTAGCATGCTAAAGGACCAGCTCATCCTGTATAATGCCTGAAGGTTTTTTGTCCTGAGCTGTTACATTGCATAGTCTGCACGGGGATGTACTCAGAATAACACTGTGTCTCGTATTCTGCTTCTGCTCCTGAAATGTTTATGTAAATCCTAAAGACTGGTTAAAGAGCTGATGGTTCCCAGGGCATGTAAGGAGCAACCAGTTACTTCATGTCCTAAAGCAGAGCTGGGCTTCTGCAGAGGAAAACGGGAAACATCCGTGCCCAGCCAAAGCAGACCTCAGCTCTTCCTGGGAGTGTGCTGGCCTAAGGCTATTGAACCACACAGTCATGCCCCGGCTCAGCTCAGTATATGGCTCATCCTCTGGCCCTCGAAGATCGCAACTCCGTTATACTGCTGACTAGAGAGCTAGCTCGTGCGGTTGAGGACGCGGATGAGTACAATTTAAAAGCTGGAGATACTGTTTTGTGAACCTGTGGCAGCTAAGCAGCTGGGAAAGTCTTAAAAATTGTACCATAAGGAAGCCCAGTTTTTCTCAGTCCTTCTCTATGATTTGAATGGATTTCCAGGGACTCAAGAGTCTTCTGAGTCTCATCACAAAGCAGGAGCATCAATGAAACAAAAGTACTGTCCCTTCGAGTCATTCCGAGCGTGTGGTTCATTTGACTGCAGCCCCAGCCCTGATCTGAGTTTCGCTGCAGCAACCAGCAAGCGTGGAGCTCTACCTCAAACATCCGTGATGGAGGCACCTTGGCACCAGTCCGGCAGCCGTGGCCTTCGCGTGGTTCCAACAGCAGAAAGACCAGCATGTCACCTTCTTCGCTGAGTTCCAGTTGGTTACAAATCCTGCTTGATGATGGTATTAACAGAGAAGACGTTAATTGTGTACTCACCCACAGGTGGTACTTCCCCGGTGAACACAGCGAGGGTTTCCTACCTGAAGGGTCATAGTCTGCAGTACCTTTGAAATCATCACGAGTTTCTCACAGCCGTTTGTAAGAATAGGATGAAGCCTCAAAGTACACAGGGAAAACCAAAGGATGACAGTGAGTGAGTCATGGGAATTGGCTGTAGTAAATACTGATCCGTCTTCCCTTTGCCAAATAAGCAATTGTCCACTCTTTGGTAAAGCTAAAATCTAGGACGTAGAGGCACGGTCCTCCAAAATAATTCAGTTGTGTGCACCATTACTGGCTCTGCTCACAGTAATACTCTGCTTTCCTGGCTTTTCTTGGAGAGCGTGTGAAGGCCCTGCTGAAGTACTCTAAACAACTTCAAAGAGAAACATAATTTAAATATCATTCGGATCAAAATTTAGTGTTGCTGGATTTATGATTTCATTTGTTTCTGAACTCAAGCATTGTTGCTAACATTTTTATTCTGTCCATCTCTTCCAGTAACGGTTTGCTGTGATATATTTTAATGGATGATACCTTTCTCTTGCTCAGGTTTTTTTTTTTTTTTACGGAACAACGCATTTAAGCATGAAGTGTTGCGGCTGTGTATGTGGCACTGACAGCTAATATGGTTCTGGTACACAGCAGCCAAAGGCAATATATTGATTTTTATAAATGATGATGAGTAAAGTAGATCTCTCTTTCCTGCCTGCACTGAGCCTACGGAGATGTGTAACTGATATTTGCCTGTTGCAGCTGTAGTCCTGGGCAGCATCTGTTCAGGATGCTGGCTAGGGCTTTAGGCTGACATCGGGTTATATATTACAGTTCCTCATATCAGTTGCTGTGCTGCTATGAAAAGATGTATAGTCCCGCGTTAATGGATGATGCTCCCACGGCCTGATTCAAAGTTACTGCAAAGATGTTTGGTACAGATAATCCCCAGCAAATTGTATTTCCTTTGTTAAGGCAAATGAATACATGAGGATGCTGCATTTTTCTACTTAAACGTTTTCCAATCCTGTATGATTTCTCCCAAGTTGTCTAACAGGAGTGCTAAATAGTACAAGAACACCTAAACCCATGCTTTGCCACTTGTCAAGCTGACTTCATCAGATAAATTATGGGACTTCCTGAGTTACCCCGTGCTGAACACGCTGCCAGGCCTGGCTCAGTCCTCAGAGCCCAGAAGAGACCACAGCAGGTTGCAGAGATGTGCACCCCAATACCCACTGACCCATGAGACAGAAATGAGCGGGACAAAGATGTGCACCACTGAAAGATGTTCTGGTTACATTTTCCTCTGGTTCATCACCAATTTGAGAAAACCTTTTTGTTTTCACCTGCTGATGGAGTAACTTCCGTGGCTTTCTCTCGCTACTCCAGCTGGTTAAGCTCTGGTGTGATGGTGCAGGGAGGTGTTGCTGGAAGAGGGGCCACCAAAAGCTCTCCCAGTGCTGTGGATGCCCCTGTGCCTGCTGGTGGGACTGGCAGTGGGAAGAAGATGAAAAGCCTCATTTATCACCCTTTACTTATGACTTGACCTAACCTGACATCCAGCGCTGTAGTTAAGTAACTTGATCCCTGTGCTGGTCTTGCAGTCGCTTGATGGGATTGTGGTTTATATGCTCCACGCACGCTCGTCAAACAGATAACAACTTGTCAGTAATTTTGACTGGGGTGAACTCCAGTCATCTTGTTTTCAGCCTCAACGCATCATTTCATGGGCATAAAAGGCAAGGAATGACAAGATTGTTTTGGGCTAAAAAAATCTTATTCTTCTGATTTGAAAATATATGATCCTGTGTTTCTAAGATGGAATTTTAGCCGCTGATGTAAACCAGGATTTTAAGTGACCAGCATTAACAAGAGTAGCCTCTTTTGTCCTTTCAAAACTAATGACAAATTTGAGGTTGTGAAGAAATACTTATTTTCAATTTTCAGCACACTTTCTGTCTTAATTTTCAATCATTTAACACTGCAGAGCAGAGGAAACAGAGATGTGGCCAATTCATGGGGAAATTAAAGAAACAATTAGGATTTCTTTGACTCTTCCAGAGTTTGTATTGGAAGAAAAATAATTTCAGATGCAGTGAGATCCTGTTTTCCATAGGCAGCAAAAGATAAGGTATTTTAAAAGTAAAGATGGGTAGTTTTGTGACTACTTGAGTGGTAACTGGGCACCTAGAAAATATTTATGGAGTGATTAAAAAAAAAAAAAAATGAGAGCTTTAAGAAATTCACTGCAGTGACCATACAAAGAAAGGTTTCAACGAAATTTCTTTCTTCGGTGATTTATTCACAGTATAAAAAGAAAGTGATAGACTCAATGAGTCAAGCACCAGCTGACCATTGTGAATGTAGTGAGTTTAAATGGTTTGGATAACCAGCTGTAGGAAAACAAAATGTAAATAAATACAGAACGGTTGTTAATTCCTCTTAAAAGGAAAACCGTGTTTTCCATTCAATGATCTTCCCATTTACATTTTGCTAGAAAGATGTTAAACAGAGTGTATGAAAGGAAATTATTTCTTTAATTAAAATAGCCTGATGAATGCTTCAGGCTTTGGAGTCCCTCCTAATGAAATCAGGTCTTGTAAGCTGAGGAGATCTCCTTTTCTGTAGCTGCCGTTTTGGGAGCTGGTGCCTGGCCGCAGAGCTCCCTGGCCTGGGTGAGCTGTCTGCCCCAGGACATCCCAAAAATCCTGCAGTCACCGCCTTCCCATGGCTTCCCAAAGGGCCTTCTCCATTGCTGACCTGTCCTCGGTATTCAGAATTAAGAAAAATCTGGCAAATTTGGCCCATCACTGTAGAGGAAGAAGCAGCTGATGGTGGCCTGTTGGGCAGGGGAGGGCTGCTGTGGGCTTTGCTGGCAGCGGGCTGGGCGTTTCTCTTCACTTGCTCTGACTTCCGGTGAACCGCAGGAGTTTTTTACCACTCCTTTCCTCTCAGCTGGTAGGATTTTTTTCCGCCTCCTAATGTATCTGATTCCATGATGGCTGAATGCACAGTCATGTGGATAAGAGCTTTTATCATCACTTCTCTTACCAACTCCCCAGGTCCGGGGGATTAGAATTGGAAAAGGAAGAAGTGTTAAAATTGGTTTAAATGGGTTTAAAAATGGAATTCAATGGGTCAGAGCAAGGGAATAGCATTCTAAAGGTAAGAGAGGCATACTAAGGAATCTGTCGGTAGCTTTTCAGGTGTGTCTGCATTAAATTCTTATTTGCTAAAATGTTTTTGGAAACCCTGCTCCGTAGACAGTCACGCTGGATGTTATCGGAGATGTACCTTAAACCCCGCTGCGGTGCCGTTAATTAAAAAATGCGCGCATAAATAGCTGGGAGAAGGCTCTGGCTGAGTATCGCAGCCTCCCCACTTGGCAGTGGTGTTTGCTTCCCCCCCAGACTCCCCTCTGCTCACCACTGCAGCTGACGCCTGCGGTACGAATGGGAGAGCTCCACCGCAGCGCGTTATCCCTTTCCTTTTCAGCAGGTTACCAGGCGCATGTGTGCGCCCTTACGGCCCAGGCCTTGGATTTTTTAACTGCCCTCAAACCCCTGCCTATTGAAAGTTAGGGCAGAAATTTTATCCACTGCACAATCTTCTGCATCCCGTTGCATAAAGGCTGCTTTTATTTTCTTTTCCCCACCACTTTTTTTTTTAATTGGAGGCAGGATTCTAATTGAAACATTTTGAGTGAAAACATTCCTGGACATAAATGGACAGCAAAGGAGACAGAAATGGAATTGCTGTAACTTTAATGAATATATTCAGTTTTATTATTTCAAAAGTAGTAACATAATTGCTTTTTCCATTCAGTAGCTGAAGAAGTTTTCTCCAATAATAAATAGGATTTTAATGGAAATGGCAGAAGTGGTTATGGATGGTAATAGCCACTAGAGTGTTTGCAGTTTTCAAATTAGATGCACATAATTGCTCATAAAAAGAAAATTCCATTTGTTAAAAATCTCTGGAAACATATTGAACGTGTAACATTAGAAATGATGCTGCCACGGGAATTATTTTCTTGTCATATTTAATAATCAGGATTTAGTCAAGTATTTAAATGTGTTGCATAAACAAATAATATATTTGGAAAACATACAAAACTGTGTTTAAAAACTGTGTTTGAAAATATCAGTGTCTGCATCGCTTAGGCTTAGCATTTGCATCCATATCATCCAAATAGTCTTCCCAATTAATTGCTTCTTTAACAGGTTTTTAGTGGTGGAAAATGAGCTAGGAATACTGATAGTTCACAAAACCTGCTTTTCTTTCTTTCTTTCTTTCTCTGCTTCTCCTTCACCGTGTCCTGTCTTCTCCCCTCGCCTAGGCCAGATGGTGCGTGGGCGCACGGTGGTCCTGCGGGCAGCGGGTGAGGGCAGACCCTGCCCGGAGCAGCTCACCCAGCACCGGAGCTGCCCGGTGAAGCCCTGCTACAGCTGGCGGCTGGGCCCGTGGTCTCCCTGCCAAGTCCAGGTACAGCTTCCCTCTGCGCTCCCCGGGGGCTCCTGCGGCCGGGGTGAACGACAGAAATCATCGTTACAGGGCAGAATTGATTGAGGGCGCCGTTCGCGGGTCGGAGGTGTCTCTGTGGCCGTTGAAGGCGCTGGTAAGACCCGTAGGAAGGCAGGGGAAGTTCAGGAGCGGTAAACCTCTGCACCTCATCTTCCAGCCATCAGCGGCGATTTATAGCAATACGGGTTCAAGTACCGCGAGCTTATAGAGGTATTAAAGGAGATTTATGGAGTAAATGTGCTTGAGTGGGCACAGTCACAGCGACCTATAATTTAATTATATAAAGTAACTCTAACAAGAAAATAGATACTCTAGATTTAAGAGAGCTTAGCCTTTTTATCTTTTTTCTTTTTCCCCCTTTTTGGTTTTTTTTTAATACTGTATAGCAGGTCTTTCCCCACAAGGTCTCCAGTACAGTAGGGTGAGTTATTGTATGAAGTGCTGGTTTCTACTTGCTCCTTAGCCTGGCTATCTTTTTAATGATCTAAAAATGGCTGGATTCAGTTGCAATGTGCTGTACCTCTGCTCGGCCCCGGAGCCGTCATTTTTTCACTGCCACTGACTTGCATCAGGCTTGAATTGACTTTTTCTTCCCCTCTATGCCTTTTCTTCTCTCCTTATCTGTTAGATCACATTTCCAATATTAAAACCCATTAGTCGGTAACCCGGTTTAAGGAGAGGTGAATCTTTCACAGGGAGGTTTCTCGGGCAGAGTGAAGTCCACTCGGGCTGCCTAAAGCCGGCTTTGCTGAGGTGGTGGTGGGAGAAGCATGGTCGAGGTGGAGAAGGGCCCTGTCTGGTCCCAGGGGACAGGACCTGTGCGTGGATCTGTGGCTGCCTCTCCACATTATACCACGTAGGATGTTGAAGCCAATAATCCACGTATAAACACATCCCTTGAGTTTTCTGCTCTGCCCTCTCCCGTGCCGCAAATGCCTTGAATACCTACCTGGTTTCTAGATGTGGTAAATGGACACGTAGCAAATACAGCGGGTAGCAGAACAGATACCCAGAATTTTCCCAGGTTTTTCCCAAATGAATTCTGCAGCGTGACAGTCTTCAGACAGTCCAAGATCGGAGAAGCAGAAATATATTTATATTTTATGTAATGAACAACAGCTCATTGCAACTTAGGAATGTTAATGTGGTCCTTGTATGTACTGCACTCACAATTTATTTAGGTGTAGCATAAATATAACAAAATGATAACATCAAGTGATACTTAATCCAGCTAACATAAGCAAAGTCTGTTACACATTAGGGAAGAGACCTTCAACCATAGGAGCTAACGTAGCTGATAAAAGAATTAGTAGGGAAGCTGAATTAACACCCTGGCATACTCCAGATAAATAATACATTGTGCAGATTAAAAGTGTGCACAGAACCCAGCTAAATTTCAGCTCAGAGCACGTAATCACAGCCTTCCCTAACCCAGATACCATCCCGCGCTTTCAGTGAGATAGAGCCTGCTCCTCTCATTAAATTACTGTGATGTAGTTTCTCTACCCTTGGCTTTGTTTTGGAGAGGAGCCATTTTATTCATGTTCAGTTCTCTTTAATGAGGTGCTTAGGAATTAAATGTAGTTCATAAATACAGGGTGATTTATTCCTGTGCTTTACTGGAAAAGAAGCTTAAGCTTACTTTCTAAAGAAAGCTTCCAGAACTCCTGTTTTCAAGGATGCTTTGTTAAATAAGGTAAATGCATCCTATGGTGAGAGCAAAATGCATATTGTGGAAGTGTCTGCCTGTATTAATATAAACAGGACATTTAATTAAAAGGCTAAAATATTTCTTCCTTGTACTATGAGATAACCGAGACCGCATTTCTTAATTGTAGAAGGACTATTTTATGCTAAATTGACTTCATGTGAATAATTAGAGGTGTCTGCATGTTTAGGAATAGAGCCCGCTAAGTGTTCTGTATTGCTGATTTTCACAGTATGGAAATCAGTGCGTTGCTCTCCAGGTAATTACACACGTCAGAGGCACACCTCTGTGGGTGTGGGGCCTTTCTGCTGCGTTCAGAGGGATGCTGAACTTGGGAAATAGTCAATGCACCTAATCTTAAAGGGTCACATTACGTTAATAATTTTCCTACTGGAGCTGAATTGGTTTACCCCAGTCAGTTTTTTTAAAAAAAAAAAAGGCAGCATCTGGCACTGTTCATAATTTTTCCATTAAAGGAATATAAGTGAAGTGCTAGATATTATCAAGCACTAGCTGCCTAACATTCATAGGAAAACTAAAAGGCTAAGAAACCGTCCGTCCTTGCCACAGTTTTATACAAGCAGTCCCTTAAATGTGGTCGCGCAATACTTCCTTATTGAAGAAAAATTTTACCTGATTAAATGCTCGTTAATCTGCGAAAGCTTATTAACTAAATGTTTACCTCAAATAATTGGGAACACACATGAACCCCAGTAAAAGCTGAAAAGGGAATTCTCTTAAAGGCATGTCTGGGCAAAGCATCTCAAGGGCTGTTACCTCTTGTCCCTAGACTAGTGTGTGTCGTGGGGAAAGCATCGGAGGGGTTATGTGAGAGGAGGTTTGGGTAGTTGCTGCCTTATGTTAGTGTGTTGGTCAATTCAAAAGACACCTGGCTGTTAAAACACCATCCTGGTGTAAACCTTCTCCTTATTTTATGGGGGCAGGGAGATGAGAGGTGAAGGCTCAGCGCAGACACTGCTGGAGGGACCCGTTCCCCAGGCTGTATTTAGGGGTCCCAGGGTTGGTTCTGCAAACTCCACAGGGTCAGCATAGACATTTTTGCAGAAATGGAAGGAATCCCCTCTGGAAGTCAAATCCCTGCATATTTCCTGACAGTAGCATGTGACTCGAGGCGAATCCTGGTCCTAGACAAACCTCAGGTGGTCGCATTGTCCAAGGAATAGCATTTAGAGTACAGATTTGATTCCCTGACTAACTGAATATGTGATCATCTCCTTGGCAGTTCTCCTCTGCTTAGCAGCTATTCCCTGCATCCTCAGTGTGCCATTACTGCAGCAAACTTCCACTGATTCCACACCTATTAATTAGACCTTCAAATGTATAATTTTGGGGACATGAATAATTTTGAAGATGATAAGGAAGTTAATGCAGTGCTCCTGCATTGCTTATGAACTTACCAAACATACCAGAAACCATTTTCCTCTATAAATGACAGGATGGCATTTTATCTTTTAAGTGTGCTCAATTGATTGTAAAAACACATAGCAGGTCTTGAAAGAAAGCAAGCAATTGGAAGCCACGGTTAAAAAGCAAACCTTTATCTTTGGAATTGTTTGAGAGTACATGGTTTCTATTTATTTTTTATTCTAAACACTGGAAGATATGAATGTATTTCCAATATTGCATGATAGAAAATGAAGAATGTTCCAGGTGGAGTTCTGTAGCAGAGACTGCTGTACAAAAAATGTGTTGTTTTCACCTATTATTTATATTTATATCTTGGTATTCACAGAACTATTTATATATTGATATGCATATGAATACTTGCATATTGTTTATACAGGAATACCTATCTTTTTAAAACTTTTTTTGTTCTTTCCAGTAATCTTGAGTCATTCCTTGAGCCACTTTGAGCTGGAAATACACTGCAGTTTGATTAGTGCCCATTTCCCCCGAGAATTTTCTCCACATTGTCTTCTGTTTGCACCAGCCATCTCTGAGAGCTCCAACCCAATTGACAGCTGCATGAGTTATTCACACACCATTAATCTCAGACCGCAATAGAGGTTTTGGTAGTGAAACAGTAATTTAGAACAGTAAGTTACATACTGACTAAAGTGAAACATGGTGTTAAAAACTTGAAATTTGGCTGCATATAGTAAATCTCCACTAATACTTCTCTCAGATGCCTTTGATTAGCGACTGCTCTGAGCTCTAAGTACAGCTAGTTATGCTCTTATTTCCACCTCATCGTGGGTCTGCAGCAGAAGGGACGGTGAGAATGGAAAAAGCTACCAGGTGTGTGCAGGAGAGCAATCCTTGAGATTCCTGCTAGCAAGCAGAAATGCACTTAGCAGGGTCCATTCTGTTCTGCAGATGAAGTCCATTATTTTAAAAGAATCCACTGCCAAGCGATCCAAAGGAGCTCTTCCCTTGGTTATATAAAAACAATGTTTCATTCTTCTTCTCAAGTCTTATTTCCTTAATTTTGTAAAGTGCCATTTTTGCGAGGCTTGAGGCACACATTCCTGAAGCATCATGCAGGTGTAAGGTATGCACCTCAAACATCATTGCGGCTCTGCTCTTCAGATGAGAATGGAACAATTCCCGCCTCTAGAAGTAGCCTCTGTGCTTCAGTCTTACGGCATCCTCAGCCCTCGATCATCGCTTAAGCCGAACAATATTGATTTTCCTGTAAAGGAAGTTTATTCCGCAAGTAGTTTGATGTATGGCTGAGTAATTCAGAATGGGGCTGACGAGCGTGGAGTGGCTCAGATGGAGCCTCCTGCTGCTTGTTCAGTTGGGGTTCAGGGCTAACGGGCTGTGCCTGACTTCTGATGATGTTTCGGTAGAGCTTGTGGCACGAGTTGGTGCTCTTTGTCTGCTTCAGAACCAATAGGTCCCTTCAATAAATAACAAAAACAGCCTAGTGCACAATATCCCTTGCAGTCTCATTACGTGTGTTGGAGGATTTTTGGTGTTGCGGGGTTTAAACCCTGTAGTGCTGCTGTTGGGCTGTGTCATCAAAGGAGGTGCATAGAAATCTCCATTCCAAGGCTCTGCTCTTGCCCTCTTTAGAGAAGCCAAAAATGTCTGTGTTCATGTAGCCGGGCACTTGTTAAGAATCAGTAAATTCACTAGCTCTAGTAAAAGGCGTTCAGGCTGACCCCAAAGACGATGTTCATCTTTCGTGGTACCCACCTCTTCTGCTTTGGTTATGGCACACTTTGCTGTGTGGCTCTGCCTCTGAGCTTCTGTAGAGATGTGTAAGGGGGGATCTCCATCTGTGTTCCCAAAACTGGGGATACTCTTGCAGTCCAAAGACCAAACTTGTTATCTTTGAAGTCTTTTTAGGCAGAATCAATTGTGTTTCTTCTTGTCATCTGTTAACACCAGTGGTGTGTGTCTCTGTTCCATTCTGTCATTCCGTAGGGTGGACATTGTGGAGATGGATTGCAAGTCCGCAACCTCACGTGTGTCGTGCACGATGCCTCTGTTTCTGCTATATCCAAACCCGTAGAAAATGCGTTATGTGGTGAGCTGCCATCAAAAGAGAGTGCGCTGCAGTTACCGTGCTCTGTGCCTTGCCCAGGTAAAGTCTTTGGAAAGTCCGAGTGTGTTTCTGCCTGTGATAGCTGTCTGAGATGGAGATGCTTCAGTAGTTTTGAGTAGTCAGCTGTTGCAGTAAGAGTTTGTACTTCAGCAGATAAGGTAAATGTTCAGTCTGCTGTTTCTAGATCCCCTGAAAAAGGTTTCTTTTGGTTTTTGAGAAAATGAGATTCCCCATGAAACAGAAAATCTGAATATTGCATGCCACTGGGCATATTTCACTATTGAAGCTGTTGTATGCTTAGGTTCCCCTTATCCTTTAAGGCTGATTCCTTTTGAAACCCTGTGGTTTATTCTTTCAATGTGCAGGTGACTGCCACCTGACGGAGTGGTCCGAGTGGAGCTCCTGCGAGCTCACCTGCATCAATGGCAGGAGCTTCGAGACAACGGGTCGCCAGTCCCGATCCAGGGCATTTGTCATTCAGTCTCCTGAGAACCAGGAGAGCTGCTCCGGACAAGCAATGGAAACGCGGCCTTGCTCAGGTAGCGTGGCCACAAGTGCTGTTCCTCCAGTGCAGTCTGGTTTTGTGGCAGGGTGAAACCTAACTGGTATTGATATTGCAGGAGGGAAGTGTTACAACTACCTGTGGAAAACCAGCCTTTGGCAGGACAACGTACGCACGGTGTGGTGCCAGCGCTCAGATGGAGTAAATGTCACAGGTATATCCAAAAATTGCTATGCACATCTATGAATGAAAAGTCTCCATCCAGGTTTTTCTTCTCCTGCATCAGTTGCTGAGAGGGCAGTTGTACAGCCTGCCTGGCTCCTCCACAGTTTCAGTCCAGATTTGTGCAGGAGCTCAGCAGCCTTGCTGTCAGGTCAACATCACACATGTCGTTACATGACAGCGTTTGGGTGAGCTACTCCTACTGTGGGGTTGGTCATGGGAAGGAAGGAGTGTATGTGTACTGCAGGGGCTTCCTGGGCTTGCTTGCACAGCTGTTAGTGCAACCACCCTGTAACTGGGGAGAACAGAAGAGAGCATCACACGCGTGGTAGAGAGCCCAGTTTCTGTACCTCTTCATCTATTCAACACGCAGGCATCTCAAATGGCTCAAACTGTGAGATTCCTAAAAAATGCCCGCGCAGGATGAAACAGGAAATTCATGGTCAGCCCTTTGAAGCTCCACAAGAGATTGGCAAAGGCAGTCGGGCTCGCACGTCCTCCGTAGGATCTCTCTCAATATGCACAGGGTGAATGAGGAGAGAGTAGAAATGAAAATGCAGATGTTCTTATCTAGTTCTGTTTATAATGACTAGCTAAGATAATAACAAAAGTTTTATGTGCAACGGTTGACGAGTAGTTAAGATCTCATTAACATGTTTTTATTCCTGTTGAAGCACAGACTTCCCCAAGTGAGGATGGGCAAGGGCGTCATGTGGATTATGTCTTCTTATGTAGATAAGACATTAATGAGGACACAGAAGATCTACATCTAATTCCCGATTCTGTCCCCAACTTCCTATGTGGCCTGTGGCAAATTGCTTAAATCTGTATATCTCTGTTCCCCATTAACAAGATGGGTATGATAATAATTCCGTGCCTTGTTAAGGCAAATTAATTAATGCAATGCCTACAGATATTATGCTAATGTGCTCAATAGCCTAGTGTTTAACTATATAAAATAAGCAAGCAAGCACACTTCTTACACTCTGGTGTTCCAAATCAAAAGGGTTTTAAAACATACCTTTGAAGGGACTCAGCATTTTCTTTTACAGGAGGGTGTGCTCCTCAGATGAAGCCTGCAGAAGTTCGGCACTGCAGCCCAGCGTGCAGAAAGCCCTTCTCCTACTGCACACAGGTAATTGCTTGCTGCAGAATGTGCTGGAGAAATTAACAGCGCAAAATCTAGTCAATTAGCTTCTGTGTCTTAAATGCACGCCGGGACCTAGAAAACAGTTCAGCGTGTCCATGGTACCACCTCGAGGAAGTTGGGGGAATTTCAGTCTGAAAGGAAACCATCATAAACCTGCAAAAACGAATGATGGGAGTATTTACGTGGTGTTACAAGTTCAGTTTTGTTCCGTGGAGGGGTTTTGGATCATCTTGGTTTAATTTCCATTGAAGTCTATTGTACTGTATTGTAGAAAACAAGCTTTTTAAGACTTCTGTAAAAGAGGAGATAAAAGCATATGTCCTCTCCTGCTCCTTCACGGACATCGAAAGTCCCATGAGTATAGGGAAGCTGTAGCACGTGATCCCACCATCCCCATTGGGCCTTCTAAGGCGAAACCTGGAAGCAACCTGTTTTGCTGAAATACTGAGCATTTTTGAGCCACTGCCACTTCTCTGCCTCTGAGCAAACGGGAGCCCCGGGCTTACAAATGTCCCTTCCTGCAGTACCGAGCTACAGAGTAAGAGCTTCCCAAAATGCCTTAACTGTGTGAGAACTGTGATGGAGTATAAAACCCCAAACCCTTGAAACAGCCAATATATTATTTATATTTTTAAAAAAGCCTCCACAGCTCTCAGCTTCAGTTGAGGATCTGGTGGGACAAATTACTGTTGCGAACTGGCTCATGGGCAATTGAATGTGGCTGAGAGGGTGGTCGTGAGAGGGCTGCGAGCCTACAGGATCATAAAAACCATGCATAAGCATGGATTTGTAAGCTATAAAAACTCTTGAGACTTCATCTTCTGTCCAGAATAGCTCAGGATCGTGTCTGTCAACAAATGCAGCAACAAAACTGATGTCAAAGGTTAAATTCTTAGCACAGAGATTGTGAATCAGTCGCCTGTCGGGATCATAACCAAGGGTATTAGATCCTCAAGACCGTCATTGTAATTACAAGAGAATTAGCGAAGAAAAACAATCTAAAAAAGCTGTTTTAAAGTAGTGATCCAGAAAACAGGCCATCTATTTAGCAAACCACAGACTTCTAAGAAACCTAATGAATAAGCTGCCCTGATGCAGGGCGGTGGATATTTGGCCCTAAGAAAGCAAACTTCATTTTGGAAAGCTCTGTGAAATACAGAGAGCGCAAACACGTTGGGAGGGTTTGGATCTGAAGTGGGATTGTTTCTTGTTCATATCTTCTAATGCCCAGCAGAGTCAGTGGGAAAATGGTTATTGACAAAAGGAGTTTGTATGGATGTCTGTTAATAAGCCTGCTAGGATGAAAATGTTTGCATGTTGGGCTTCTCTGTAATTACTGACTCTTTTTCAACCAATTCCCCAAATATATTTTGGCTTTTTGAACTGAAATGGATTTGTGGGCACCGGTTACGGGCTTGTTTGGTTTGGTGGTGGGGAAGTTGCGTGTGCAGGGTATGCCTTGCGGTTTCTTCACAGTTTGCCTACAATTTGCACTGTTCTGCTATTTGGTTTAATACTGAATTCCCTTTTATTGCCTAGAGAGGAGTCTGCGGTTGTGAGCGAGGATATACGGAAATAATGAGATCAAATGGTTTGCTGGATTACTGCATGAAGGTACCAGGTTTAGAAGATAAGAAAGCTGATGTTAAGACCATTGCTGGAAAAAATAAACCTGTCAACTCAAAAATGCATGACATTTTCAAAGGATGGTCTATTCAACCTTTTAATCCAGGTGAAAAACTTAAATATGAATGGAATAAATTGTCTTTACAACGTTTCTGTAGAAGAAAGGTACAAGCTTTGTAGATCATAACATCAGAGATAGTGTCTGGGAGCTGCAGAGCAGCCTCCCACTTTCTAACTCGCATGCCATCTTTCATTCCTTTGTGCCTATACAGAGTAATCACAATCTCTTATGCTGAGAGATAGAAAAGACAGAATGAAGCAATAATATTTTGCAAAAGTATACTCATATGTGATTTGGGGAGATGCTTAGAACTATTATCTGATGATGTTTCTAAAAGTAATATGTTTGGACCAGGAAAGATATTGATCACTAGCGCTTCAGAAGATTCAGAGCAGAAAGTACTTAAGATTTCATTAAAGAAAACATAGGTTGTTTCTGGCCATATTTCAAAAGTATGTGAAAAAAACAGCAGGGTAGAAAGCGTAGAGTTTAGAATTGTAAGTGTTGAAGCTGAGACATTAGAAAACGCCCCACAAAAAGCAGGGAAGCTGCCGTGCCCACGCAGGGCATCCCTGGCCGATCTCTGACTTCCACACCCTAAAGCGCTTCCCAGTTGGAACCGCGTACTGGATGTGCCTAGACTGGTCCACAGGACTGGTGCGGAGGCTATAATAGCCCATAACCATTTTGAATGTTGTTTTGCAAGATTGATTTATTCAAAATAAATTTCTAAAGTGCAAATAGGACTTTGAAATGGGAGACAAAGGTGTCAGTTTTCCTGAAATGCGTTAATTCTCCCATATTTCAAATACTGGCCTTACCCCTCTTCTGCTAGCTGGCACTGCGTTTTTTTCCTATTAGTTTGTAATGAACACGGGAGTTTAGCAAACATGTAACAAAGGGTTCTGTTAGGGGATTCAGGGAGCCATAATTCTGTCTGATATATGTGATCACACTTTGAATGTTACATTTACATACTTGATTTGCATACAGTAGTTAACCTTTGCGTTGACAGTCTCCGAGCTAATAGAGCTCGGTCCAAAGCCTTTTCAAGTTGGCTGGTTTTCGATCACACCCATCATCCAGGAGCCCACACAGTTCACCAGCGGTTTGAGTCACAGGTTTGGGGTTAATTGCCTTTTTGTCAGCATCCGTGGCCCTCTGTAGGCTGCCTTACTTAGGTGTCAGGTCTTCAGCTGGTACCTTTACGGGGTTAGGAAAAGGGAGAGAGGTGTAGGTGGATGCTGCAATTCTCTCCTTTTAAATCAGCATTCAGGGCTGCAGCCCTGAAAGCTTCTGGTGGGCTTGACCTCAGTGCAGCATCTGTGAGCCAGTTCTCCCCCAGGCACTACAAGAGAAATAAGGACTAAAGAGCTTTTACAGAACATGGTGTTATTTAATTTTAAGGCAGAAATGTTACAGAAACAATGTATGGGAAAGGAATAAATGTGCCCCATGTGTGACAAGTGTATCACCAACCCTGTGGCATCCTGCAGGTAACTCTTCAGTCTGTATGTGCCCTTCAGACCCCAGCTCAAGGCTGGTGCTCTTCAAATCACTCCCCTTTGTCTAACTTGACAAAATATGTAATTACTCCCCTTAAACAGGCTTACTAGTCTGGGGGGTTGCAATAATTGCTGCTAGCTGAGCCAGGAAACTGCTGTTACCTACCAGTTACGCTCTTGATAGCAGGTCTGTGGTGAATGCTCCCTGTATGGTTGGCATTTACTGCCCTTCACTCCCGTAGTCCTTGACATTTGTGTATGTCTAAGGACTTATATCTGTCAGTAAAAGTATACGTGCCTTCCTCCTCTTAATTTGTGATTTCCCTTCCCGTTTTCAGTTTGGAACACAAACTTTATTATGAATTAATGAGGCTGATGGTTTTGTTCTTTTAAATGCTCTGCAGGAGTGCACAGAACTGGTTTTGAATCAGGCTGTGTTTTTCCTTTCTTTACCACGCTCTAGGAGGCCAGAGTTCAGGTGCAGAAACTTTTTCCAAGTTGAGAGGCAATTTAAATAGCATCGTTGAAATTGTTGGATGACATGGTCCAATGCCTTTATGTGGGTGATGGAGAGCATAGCTGCCTGCCTAGCAGACGTGGTGGGATGCCTTTCTGTGGCTGTGACAGTCCCTTTGCAGGACTGCTAAGGCCATCTTGGCCATCTCCAGATGGGAGGGTGACAAATTTCATACCCAAACTTTGGCAAAAAATTAAAGAAAAACCCAACCCAGCCCTGACAAGTTGAGTTCTCCCGTGGGAGATAGGCTGTAAGTGTTTTGAGGAGAGAAAACCTGTGAGAGGTACTCAGCCATTCCACAAAGGCTGGAAGAAAAAAAGAGAAAGAATGAGATCTGATTAAATATTTTTCGCTTTGAAAAAAATCATCAAATGTAAAATGTAAAACAGGCTCAGCGATTGTCCCGTGAAGTAACTCCCCACTCGCATGACTGAGTTTGAAATGGCCTCTGTCAATACATGTCTGGGGGCACGGCGCAGGTTCCTTTTCCTGTCTCCGGTCTGTATTAACGGCTCCGTTAGTGTGAATCGGCTCAGACTACTGCTGCATGGAAAAAAACACCGTCACTTCTCCCCACGAGGGAAGCTGTACAGCCAGAACGGAGCAAGAAGTAGAAATATTGATCTTTTAAAGATTGTTATTATTAATGCAAAGCTTGTAAGTCAAGGCCTGTCCAAATGACGTCTTTTGAGAAGGAAACGTTTCAACGCGCTCAAGCCCACGTGCACATGGAGGGGTTCTTGCAAGGGTTGCAAAGTGGAGACCCTGTCGTTGCAACCCAAAGAGCCCTATCAAGAGCCTTACCTTGTCTAAAAGCCTGATATGTGTCCTGCTGCCCAACTAGAAAGCTCTTGCACAACTTTATCCCTATTACAAAGTGTATTATTGTTTTTATTCTAAGCTGAATTTATTTCCATTTGCTGCCCAGGCGTTTTTCAGCTCTAAGTAGCTTTTTCACTTGCGTTCGCTGGTGTTTGCCCCAACTGACCCCCAGGTCTTTCCAGAGAACAATCCCGTCCTTTCTCAGCCCTCTTTACTTTAGGCTAAACATATCAGGTATTACCTGCGTTTCTGTCTGGGTCAGCTCAACATTGAACTGCCTTTGCCAGAGCAGCCACTGGGGCTCCTGAGCCGATGTACTGCAATTATCTCGTGCCCCTGCTCCTTCCACGGGCAGGAGCCTTGGCCGGGTTGTAATTCTTGTGCCAGGCTGCCTGTAATGAACTGCAGGAGCTCAGCCAGAGGGAAGCTTATGAAATAATGCTGCTTTGCAAAACTGAGGGCAAAGGGTTTGTTTTCAGATTTCATTGAGGAAAATCTACACTCCTAACCAAGGTTAACGTTTTTGTCTTTAAAATGATTGATTTTTACAGGCATCTTTTTTTCTATCATAGATGTGGGGTTTATGGATTATTCCCAGACAGTCCTTGCTGTGTTTCCCATCAGTGGTGCTATCTTCCCATCCATAATGCTACTGATTTTGCTTGTATGCTTTCTCTTTACTAAATCTCTTAAGAATTTGTATTTTTTTAGAATAAAGTTTTTTTTTATTTTCTCCTTTTGTCCCTCTGTCCTTTTTCCTCATCTTCCAACAGATGGGAAACTGAAGATGTGGGTATACGGAGTATCAGCTGGTGGGTTCTTCATCATAGTTCTCCTGATTTTTACATCCTACCTGATGTGGTGAGTATGGTGTGTGTTTTGTCCTTAAATAAAAGCTAGTTTGCTTTTATTTAAACAATCCAAAATATACCAGTGTTCTGTGTCACAGAGATTTAGTCCTCAAGGCTTTAGGAAAGGATGGAGCTTGGATTACTTAACTGCCTTCATTTGGCCCATACCTCAGAGTAATTTAAAACTCTCCAAATTGTAAATGCTAACCAGCATAATCATGAAGAAGTGTGGTGGCCATGCAGGGAAAGAATTATTTCTGGTTACCAATAGGCCCTTATATTTATTCAGACTTCTGCTGGGATTAGAAAGGGCTTTTTATTGTATTCTCTAAAAAAAAAAAGATAAAACTGCAAAAAGGCAAGGAGGCTGATTGGATCGAGGAGCTGGCTTCTGCTCAAGGAAGGACTAAATAGAATAGGGGCATTCAGTTGGAAAATGATGTTTGACGTGGGAATACAATAGAGATCTATGAAATCATGAATGGAGTAGAAAAGGGCGCTGGGGAATTTTTATTTCCCATAATATAAGAAGTAGGAGGCATCTGATGAAATGATCGTTTAAAATAAACAAAAGATTTTATTTTTCACACAGTGCATTATTACCTTGTGAGCTTACCGCTGCCGGGGACTGTGCATGCCAGGAAGACAAATGGATTCAAAGATGGCATAACTGTTCACAGGAGATTGGGTCTCTTGGTGTTAATTGTGGTTTTCTGGATGCACGCTCCAGCTCGAGAAATCCCTGAATAGGTTTTTGCAGTGAATACATCAGGCAGAAACATGGCCTGTGTCTAAAGCTGCTCTTACCAGCCAGTGTTAGAGGGAGGGTACGGGGCACACCGAAGCCCCAGTCTACACCAGTGCATCACTGGTGTTGGGCTTTACTGGTGGGGCAGATGGCTGCCCTCCTCCAAAGCAGCCGTCACCGCAGGCTTGACAGAGCTAGCGTTGTGCTCTCTGCCTTGAATACTTGGAAAGGCGCTTCCACTGAGGTGTCTGGGAGGATGTGAGGCGAGCAACAGCCCGCTGCCCCAACCCTTGTCAGATCAGGGCAGGCAACCAGAGTCACAACTATGGCCCGACAGCGTCATTGCCCCCTTTCGTCCACCATCAGTTTATTTTCTCTCTCTTTCTCTCAGTGTCTCTCTTCAGTTAAAAGCTTAAATAACAGCGTTTGGATGCTGCTTAGGAGATGCACCTTCCTTATTTTCCAAGCCGTGTCGCTACCATTTCTCTGTGGCTTCACAGTGGAGCATACAGAGGGTTTTTTAAATAACATCACATAGTTCTCCATCACCCAAAGGCTGGTGAGGAAGTGTATTTCTCAATAATCATTACTGTTGCTTCAATACCATGCCAAGGAAAAAATGAGAATATCCCACTCCTAGACAGTTCTCATTTCAGTTTTTTTCTACGAGGTGTTCCTCGTTTTGTCAGCTGTGAGAAGACACGGGAGACAAATTCGCTTTATTTGCTCTTCAGATGAAGAGCACAGTTGGCTGCCCGTTTCGGCAGGCTGCGTGTCCGAACCACGCAGGTAACAGCACACAAGCAGGTCCATGTGGTTTTTTTTTTTTCTTGGAAACTGTCGCTGTACGGCAGTGTCACCTAGTTGCAAAATGAAATAGCCAGCATAGGAAGTTTCTTTTTGTTGAAGTTTGGTGATGATTGTTTCTGAGCTTATTACAGTTTATAATTTTGTCTCCTGAACTGTTTTCCTTGCAGCAAAAAAACAAAGCAGCATCAAAGCACTCCTCCGCAGCAGAAGCCTCTAACCTTAGCCTACGATGGAGACATTGATATGTAACATAAAGAAGAAATCCAAATGTAGACATCGACTGCCTTAACTGCTTTCTTTTTTGGAACTCTCCGACTTCTCAGTTTTTTGAGGAATCTCCTGGTGTGTAATATACGGGGCAGAAGTATTGCAAGCTTAAGATTTTGCCACTTCTTTATTAAAAAAAAAAAAATATGGAGTCAAAGACTTGGATCTTGTGAAACTTTTTTGAAGAGACCATAAAATACATCTCTTCCTGTTGAGCAATGGGAATTTAAAAAAAAAAAAAAAGTATCTACAGACAACAAAAGGAATTAGTAACCAGAAAGGCATGACAATCCTGAGGAAAATGTGACATTTACTGTAAATGACAAGTTTGACACAGCATCATTATGCACTATATTAGTGCAGGGTTCTTTATTCTTCACATATTTCAACAATGAGTTTTCTAGTGTTTACATTTCGTTCAAAGACTTTAAAACCAGATCATGTATTTTGAGAAATGCAAGGAAGAATGAGTTGAAGTGTCTGAAGTTATCAGGTTTTTTAAAGTTTCTTCCTTCTTATCCTGTTTTCTAGTCTGGAATATGATTTTCCTTCATTTCCACCTACAGGACAGAATAAGGATTGTTGTGAAAAAGCATAGGTGGTTTCTTAACCAAGAGTATTTTTTAAAGAGTTGAGTAGATAGGTGTTTTGATGAATGGCTAGAAGATCTGATTGTTTAAAAAGTATTTTAAATTAAATTAAACCATGTAGATACATTATGGCCAGTTTAAATTGTTATTCAGTTTAATTAATACAAACTCAGCTTTTGTATTTAAATTTTCTTATCTGAAATATTTATAAATTCTTTTCTGAATTTAATTACCTGACCTCATTTAATATGCATCAAACACAAATGCAGTTTGTAGAAGGTCTTGCTTTTTTAAATGTTTCAAAACCACTGAGAAGTTACGTGTCGTAAACATCTGGGAACATTTGGAAAGGGTAAGTGTTTATAATAGTGTGTGTCGCAAGTAAGAAAGTGCCATCTTGTGGTATTGACTTGTATTTATAAGCAAATAAAATGCTAAAGAGAGTGAGAAAATTGCTTCTGGTACGTTGAATTAAATGTGCGTAAACAACATCCGTTATTAGTCTTTCACTGTGTCTGAGATTGGACTCGGATTTCAAACAATTTTGGCATATTTTGTGCTGTAGTGATTAGTGAAAGAAATACTGCAGACAAGTACAAGTTGGGAGAATAATTACAGATTTGGAGAATGCTTGGTCTTATTTTTAGCTCAATGCTGCTGTTTATTCTAATAATTAGAAAGAAGAGAAAAGAAGAATTGCTACCAGCCTACGCGGTCCTTCTCAATCCGCAGTTACTTCCGAGCGCCTTGTCGCAGGAGAAGTGTATAACTAGGGCCGAAGGCATTGCTGGTCTTGTTGTGTTGCTCTTCACAGCTTTGTAAAGTGATTTGAATATTACGGTTTCATTGAAAAAATGATGGAGTTGTAAGTAGGTTTTCCTCCCCGGGTCAGGATCCCACCCATCCAGTGTTTCTCCCGCAGCATCGAATTGAGATGATGTTGTGTCAGGAATGCACTTTCCTCTTCCTGCATTTAAAAAGAAACAAAAAAAAGGCTGATGGAATTGTGAGGGGAAATTGTCTCACTTATTTCTGTCCCTGATGATGTCCTGCTGGCCCTACCTTCTGCCTTTGAGCTACAACTGTTTATGGTATAAAAAGCAGAGTCTGGTGTTCCCCAGTAAATTGGGGGCTTGAATCTTTTTTTAAAGGTGCTCTGTACTGAAGCTTTGAGTAACACGTATAGCGTAAGACTTACAAGGGGAATAGCAATTCAGTGCCATTAGGAAGAATTCTGCCAGATCTTAATATATTTTTTCTGTGGAATACAATGTGAGGAGAATGGTACTGTCTGAATAACGAAGGAATAAACTCAATTAAACATGCGGTTCAAAAAGGTATTGGAGTGGGAAAGTTGGTGTAATAATAACAAAAAGTGACACCTGCAACATGTGGTTATTGCCCTCAGCATCAGGGTAAATTACAGTCCAAATGGTGATGTCCAGCGCAGGAGCTGTGGGCTGTGTGGCACTGGTGAGGCTGCACCTTGAATCCTGGGTTCAGTTCTGAGCCCCTCACTACAAGAAAGACACTGAGGGGCTGGGGGGGGTTCAGAGAAAAGAACGGAGCTGGGGCAGGGTCTGGAGCACAGTTCCTGTGAGGAGCGGCTGAGGGAGCTGGGGGTGTTCAGCTGGAGAAGAGGAGGCTCAGGGAGACCTGATCGCTCTCTACAGCTCCCTGACAGGAGGGTGCAGAGACGTGGGGGTTGGGCTCTTCTCCCAAGTGACAAGTGGTGGGACAGGACAAGAGGAAATGGTCTCAGGTTGCACCAGGGGAGGTTTAGATTGGATATTAGGGGAAATTTTCTTCCCAGAAAGGTCTGTCAGGCATTGGAAGGGGCTGCCCAGGCAGGTGGTGGAGTCCCCATCCCTGGGGGGATTTAAGAGGCACGTGGATGTGGTGCTTTGGGGCATTGTTAGTGGTGGACTTGGTCGGAGTATGTTAAGGGTTGGACTTGATGATCTTAAAGGTCTTTTCTAACCTGTGAGATTCTATGTAGAACTGCTGTGGGGAAGCAAGGCGCTCCAGGTACAACGCTGCAGTGTGTGTTTATGCAGGGCAGATGGACCCGGGCTTGTGCTTCAGTTTGGAGGCCTTCACGCAGTCTGCGTCCCCACGTGTGTTCTAGCACCTTCTGGCCAAAGCCCTACAGGCCCTCCAAAGGGACGGACCGTGATTCACGCTGGGGCTGGGGGCTGTGGACGGCACTGGCCAAGGGACAGCATCTGCTGCAGAGTTGTTATAGTGCCGTGATGCCCTTCAGGGAATGAGTGCAGCTGCCTTGTAGAACAAAATAAAACAGGGGAAGACTCATGAGTCTGCCGTTAGACAGTGGCTGCTGGTGTCTGCCAGCGTGCACATGAATCCCATGTCGGCTCGTCATCCAGCACGGTGATTCAAATGTCACGATGTAATTGCCTGGTTTTGATAATTTGGGATTGAATTAAGCTGTGAAATTGAACCGAGGAGCTGGTGGCCCTGCAGGGTCCATGAGTCTGAGAATGCAGCATAAGGCAAAGAAAAGGAATCAGTTGTTTAGACAGATACTGAGGTTATTGCTGTTCGTAAGAGCTCTGGATATCCTGCTGGGAGGGATGCCCAGCCTCCTGGAAGCACTGAAAGGCAATTCCTACCTTTCAGAGTCTAAAGTGAGTCATGACGTTGAAAAAGGATTACTCCCAATCCTTGTCTATTTGGGGTTTCTAAACTTTATCCTGAAGTAGCTGGTGCTGAGCCCTGCCGAAGACGGGAGAAGATCTTGCTCCTGTGCAGGAAGGTAATTCCTATAGTCCCAGCTAGGGCGTCCCTTCAAAACCCGTAGGTGATTGTGAGTTAAAAGCGTGTGTGGGTGAAGGATTTGCCAAATGCCCTGGCAATCTGTCTGGGCGGTTAATGACCAGGTAATGCAAGAGTTTGCATTTTGTCATCCATTGCTTCAACACTATTGATTTCCACATCTGCTGCCAGGTGTTTCCTCCTTTGGTATTGCAACGTGCAACTCTTTTTATTATTTTTATTGCAATCTGTCTTCTGTGGCATTTTCTCTCCGTTGTTCCAAGACTCCTAACGCGCACCGGTAAAACAGAACAGCAGCACCTGAAGTGAGACACCACAGAAAACGAATCACCGAGAAGTATTGAACCGTTGCTTACCCGCGTCATTCCTGCGGTGAGGCAGGTTAGGCGCAGAAAGGGGATGTTTGCGTGCACAGGTGCTACATCTCTGCGTATCATTGTGCCTAAACGCCGCGAACATTTGGGCTTTTGTATGAGGTACGTAAAATCAGACGACGTTTCTCCTGCAGAAATACCTTGAAGCCTTGGGGCGCTTTCCCGTAAGGGGGGCTGGATCCCAGCTCAACCCCTCTCCCCTCCAGCAACCGCACCGTAAGTGTCACCCAACACTTGAACTGCTCGTGCTACAGTCAAGAACAAAGACTGTAATTTTCGTTGCTCTGGAAGCAGAGTAGTGTAAAAATTCCTGCAAGGCAACGTAACTAGACTTGTAAATTAGCTTGTGCTTGTATTCGTATGTGTCAAAGAAGAGCCTAATTGTGTAGTTTTCTTTGCCTAAGTGCACTTACATTCATGGCCAGTTTCATCAGGAAATGAAGAAAATATTATCTTGGGGGAAAAAAAGATCGGTTGAGCACTTCCAGTTTGGATTAGTCCTGATAAGTATGAAGTTGTCATTAGAGACCAGGTCATTTGCTGCTAATGTGGCATAGCTGGTTTCTTGAAAGACTTGGTTTTTCCAAATATGTAACTTGCACTTGCAAATGGAAGGAGAAATGTAGTTTAAATATAATTTGGGAGCTTGTTTGCAATCGGGAGGTAGTAATGCGGGAAAAAATGATCTAACTCAGGACCTTTTGAAAGATGGATCAGGATACCTGATATATTAATGTGCCTCGGGACAGATTACGGTTCTGTCTGGTTTAAAATGTAATTTAAATGAATTAACTTCCACATCTTACGGCTGTGACATGCGCCTGTCCTGGACAGGAGCTTGATTTATATTATCTTTATGAAGATGTATCTGTGCGCATACCATTACGTGCCATCAATATGCATGTGTGACTTGATTCCCGGCGCCCCGACCTGACAGGGGACTCGGTGACTGTCATTTAACTGCTGACACGGCTTGTGCCATGGCCGCGCCGTTAAGCTGTTGTGATGTGACACGACCTGACTCGTAACGCTTACGATGGGGTCGTTGCCTCCTGCTTCTGTCAGACGTGGAAGATGAAGTCGGGTGTAATTCCTCCTGGACTTGCTGTAACTGTGGAGACAAGCATGTCCCGGGTGGCGGCAGTCCCCCGTGGCCGGTGCGGCTGCGTGGATGGGGACGGGATGTGCTTGGAGGGTGTTACTGGCTGTGAGGTTGCCCTAA